AAATAACTGATTTATCAAATACTTGAAGTAGAATTGTGAAAAGTTTAAATAATATTCGTAAGATCGTCACTCAAGTAAATGCCAACCGAAACCAACACCTGCAGAATTTTCAGAACTTTATTGATAGCTGAAAACATTATAAACATTTCAGCAAATTCATGCTCACGAAAAAACCACATATTAAGCTGAGATATACAAATGCAACACGAAATTACTTCAGAGCTGCATAACCTGAAAAATAAAATAAAAGGTGATCTGACCTTGATATAAGACATGTATTTTGTAATATCACCATTGCGGATCAAAATTTTCTGTGGAGTTTCTTTCGCCCTTCCCACAGAAATAGGTGAAGTCCTTTCGTTGGGCTTGGTCAACGGTTTACTGCAAATTCAAAAGGTTTCATTTAGCATTTTAGGTTATCTCTTTCATTTAGCATTCTAGATTATCTCTTTCATTGAAACTACAAAAATGATAAAATAACTGCTATAGTACATGTGTACAGCTATAACAAGAGAACTGATATTAGCATTTACCATATAATTTCTGCAGTAATACGGCACTTTTACGTGAAAGCTCAACATTGATAAATTATATTTTCTCAGAAGTTGAATTAACATTAAAGCATGTACTGTCACACAGTGAAAAAAGAAAAAAAAAAGTATGCCAAAGGGTTGTAGACTTATGAGCCCGTGTCAAAATTTCTGGCATGTACCAACATGATCTCTTGGATGCTCGTGTACTTTTCAGAATTGTCTAATGTGTCCTCAATGAATGGTAAATATCAGTTACATGTCTTGATTTATAATATACTTTCAATTTTGAAAGTTTCTTTGACACTTCACTGATTTGAACGTACCATGCCAGTTGCCGGATACTTTATCATTATGCACATGTATATTGAGTTATTTTTCATTACACTTTTTTCATATAAAATTATAATGTGATAAGAGCTATGTTATAAACATAGTTTAGAGTATGCTTCAAGTAACACATGAATTACTATTAAACTCCTCCACAGAATGACAAAAAGAAAATTAAAGCATATACCTCCTATGTACTCGTTGATATGTATGATACACCAATGCTTATCATGTGTGGAGATTATGTTTGTCGCTATAAACAAACAAACATCAATGCCTGCTAGTTATATTTTTGAGTGTAAGTATGCGCCTGCCAACCAAACTCAGACATCTGATCGTGACAAGGAATTTTATAAGGAGTATTAAATGTCACGTCTCAATCAGGGGTTCTACTAATCCCTTTAATTTTGAGGTTCCAAAGGGTTGGTTAAAAGAGAGCTTGCTAACCCCTTCGCAGGGTGATTGTAAAATCACTGAATGAAGTCCTCCATTTCCATAAAAAATCCTGGCCTGCAGCAAGCACGGCATGACTAGGTGACATATTAAGTATGGTGACGACAACAGCATGTCATGTAGACTAGGCTACATGCTCTTCATCAGAGGTAGAAAGGTAAATTAATACGTTCATTCCCTTCTCAGTATTCACCTGTTGACCTGCTAAGTCACCATGAAAAAAAGCGAAGGGTAGGAAACGTGTCAAATCTACTTTCACAGATCTAATAAAATGTTTTTAGTCCATCTCATATCTTTGTGTGTGCATAGAGAGAGAGAGAGAGTGATGAGTAGTTCAACTGGCATGCATGCATATGTATATATTACATACACATATGCATTAACACACACACATATACCTAACAGAGTAATGAAGAACAAACAACAGGAATTACAAAGAAAACGAAAATGATTAGGATTTTGGATTCAGTGCTTGAGTCAACAGCTTCACATCTTTTGAGGTTTACACCTCATAAAACTAGACTTCCACACCCAAGATTGCATTACACAATCCAAAAAAAGAAGAAAACTACACTCTATTCCAAGAAATCTGAGTTTTCATCTCTCCTTTAACTAAAAAATGCTAGTCTTTTGTACACTTAAAAGACTTGATCACCAGGAAATCCAGTCCTCAGAAGTAAAAAAAACATTCCATATTAACTAAACTTCTATAACAATTTGTCTTCACAGATAAGGTTACAAGAAAATTTCTACAGAAAGCAACAGTGAAAAAGGGTTGCGGGCATTGTTTTCTCTGTTCCTTTTTGTAGTTTTTAGCTGCTACAGTATTTCCCTCCTTCTCTTCATCCATTTCTTTGCAATTTTCCACGCAAAATCATTCTAAATCAAGATACTTTCAAGATAATATTGACATAAACAAAGAAAAAGGAATAACCTCCATAACTCGTCAGGATCCTCGCAATGTAACCACCTATCCTTCCAAGTCTTCAGACCCTTGATCATGCTGCAACAAGAAACAGTCATTATGGACATAAACTACTATAAAAGCAACATGATGAAACAGATTTTCAATGGCACTGCTCGATATTCAACGTACTTAGTATGATACTTCTTTAAATCTAAACAATATTGATTCCTCTCAGATCTGATTTGTTGCTCCCTTCGAAGAAGATCATCCGGATGAAGAAAGCCAGAGCAAAGCAAAGTCGACCTGTCAATTTACATCAGTGATCCCAAGTAAATCAGTAATGAGGACTGTAATGAAGAATTAAAAGCAGACCTTTCATAAACTACACAAAATCTACAATAGCGTAATCTGTAATAACAAAAAAAGGTAAATAGTATGCAAAGTAAGAACTAAGATGGTCTACCGCATCTAATAACGTGGAAAGTGAAATCAGGAGAATAATAAACTAGAAGATATCAACTTCAATAACCTATATATGGAACTAGTCAGATAAGCGTATTAGCCACATATCACCAACTAATATTCTCACTAAAGCAAAAACTTATGAGTTTTTGGGAGAAGCATAAAACCATGGAAAATTGACTACAGAAACATTGCGAGGTTGCATGAAAGATTCACCCAAAAGTACACAAATTTTAAATGAACCCTGTGAACAACTTTAGGACAGTCTCATAAACGGTGGGGTCACCATTGTAATATTAAAAGTGACAGGGAATAGAAGCATAATTGACTACTATTTTTTCCCAAAAAAAATTGAGTTTTTTTCTCACTAAATGAACATATTTCAGTAATATGCATAAATCACATGTAATATGATGTATAGTGATGTATTTGGCATCATCACATAACATAATCAACATAAACATAATCATAGTGCAATGATATTTCTTAAGTTAACAATTACCTTTATCATATAAATACATAAATCAGCTCATTAACAGTTAAAATAAACATCATACATCATGGAAATAATTTCTGCTTTCTTTCTGTCGCTTCACTACAAATTATTTTCTGTCATTATGTTTGAAAATTAGTTAACTCGAATTTCATCGTATCCTTTAGGTTTAGGAGGCCAGGGAGGCTTGTCCCTTTAAAAATATTCATAATCTTACGGTGATCTAATAACCGAATAGAATAGTTGGTCTTAATGACCATCTTTCACCTCAGTAGAGTGCTGTCATAAACATGGTACTCTAGAGAAAACTCGACAAATTAAGGCTCTGATTGGTTAAGGTTCGGTAAGAGTTTATGCCTCCTAGATATAACAGTAAAGGGGACAGCCTTCTAGCTGTTAGTGTAAAGGTGAGAGTTTTTAGGTAGAGATAAGAAGAGAGAAAACAGTTGGCCATAGTGGGTTGCACTAGGCACTTTATGACCAAAATTTTCAGATTGAAGAGAATCAACATATAACCATATCAGGCATTCTCTAGTACCCAAAAAAATCTTCCTTGATATCTTTACTACATCACTTGTGCTATTGCTTCATCACTTGATGAATTGATATCAAAAGAGTTCTCTGTTAGTATCTTTGCTACAACGGTTGTACTACTGGTTCATCAATCACCTTATCTTAATTATCTGAAGAAAAATAGGATGTCACGAAAAGAGCGGAAAAGATATTATCCCATAATGCTAATATCAACCCATAGACTCTCAAGGAAGGGAAAAACAAACAGCTCAAGAAGCAATACATCCAGCAACCTTGAACAACATATTAAATACTGATTCAACTAAATGGTATGAAGCGGATGAAATAAAACTATAGGACATCCGTGTGGAATACTAGCCATCTGAGAAAATCACTCGATAAGTTGACATCAAAAGAGTTCTCTATTGGAATCTTCGCTACAACGCTTGTACTATTGATTCATCACTCACCTTATATTAATTAGCAGAATAAAAATAGGACGTTACAAAGAGAGCGGAAAATGTATTGTCCTATAATGCTAGTACCAATACATACATAGACTAAGGAAAGGGGAAAACAAACAGCTCAAGAAGCAATACACCCAGCAACCTTAGCTACAACATATTAAGTACTGATTCAACGTAGTGGTATGAAGCAGATAAGATTCAAACTATATGACGTCCATGTGTAATACTTGCCATCTGAGAAAATCATTTCCAAAATGATGGTTTTCTCCTGAAAGTAGTAATTGAACTGCTTGTTCTGCTCCAGTACCACTAGGAAGAAACTGAGTTAGAAGCTTTCTTTCTGATTCTGAAAGGCATGTCGCCCAAACCTAACAAGAGGATAACGAAAGTAGCCTCAAATATACCATGTGACGAGGATTATATAGATAACGAGAAAGGAGGGCAGAAAATAAGGGGAAAACAATCATCTGAGAAAACCCTATTCACAACAAAGAAAATAAGTTACCTCACAGGAGAGCACCTCCATCAGATTATTCAAGCTATATATTTCACCAGGAACACAAAGGACATCGGCTAAGCCAGAAGAACACCGAGGAACAGATTCAAAAAAAGGAGCCATATCCGTCCAAGTTATCCCAATTTGTTCCCTTTTTGCCATGGCTTTCTTTTGGCCTTCATTCCACTCCAAATATATTTGGGATCTCAAGTTCAAAACATAATCTGATGAGTCCATCTTCTTTTTCTTCTTCCCTCTGTAATGCTCGTGCAGACTTGAGCTTATCAATCTTTTCTTTTGTTGACCAGCTGCCATTTTTCACAGTATTCAGTAAATTACTGCCAGCACTTTGATTAAGCTCTGTCTTGACCTCTACCACAAGTCTCCACCTAGAAATGAAACGTAAGCACTTAGCATCTTAGAAAACAAGTGCTAGATTATTTGCATCAGAGAGCATTTCACCCATATCAATTTCTAGAAATCAACACGGGCAAGAAAGGTAAAAGAAAACAGATTAAAAAAATCGAATGTCAGAATAAAGTCATAAGCATAAATGAATGGTTCGTTAACAGGTAAGATACCTTAAACCATTAAGTTGACATGGTTAAATCCTCTCAACACGTATACACACACCATACAAAGAAAAAAAAAACAAAAACAGAACATAGGTGGATTCAAAATAATCATGGTCAGCTAAGCATTCAAAAAGAAAAGGACCGGATGATATAACTGCAGTTTGATACTATATAACACCAGAAGAGAACATGTGCATTATATAGATGATTGCCTAGAAAAAAGTTAGATCCCCATCACAAGCAAAGTTTACTGTAGATTGAACCAGTTTATACATTTCAAATTGAATTAAACTCCGCAAAGGTCGTGTATACAGTGGCAATTTAAAGACTCAGTGACTTTATATGTAAATATGTAAATGTGTTCAATAACTCAACAGATACGTCAATGGACATAGAGATATATTTATGCCCTACTGTATATATGATACGACTTCGATGATGAATCATAGTCAAGAATATGCCATTAGGTGAGAAGAATGGTAAGCATTCCTTGGGGAAAAAAAGGAAAACGAAGAATGTAGAGTAGGAATATAAGTATCAGTAGCCTGAGGTTCAGTGGTCAAGGTAAAAAGCCGTGGCACACAGCCGAAACAATGATTAAATCACATGAAGGTTTCACGTGAAAGGCAAATTTGGTGACTGGTCATCAGTCTGAAAGTGGATCAGGTACTGAGCACAATTGTATATTAAGAAGGCTTCAGATAAAGATTGACAACCAAATTTCTGACCAGTTGTCAAGTGGCTTCAACCCTATTGGCATGCAACTGAAGCAGGTTGAACCTGAGTCAAGCCTAACCACATGTTGAGGTGTTGCTCCCCATGATTCTTCTTACAATTTGATGGGCTCATGGCAGTAAAACAAGCTTCATTACAGTCAATTTTCACTTGAAGCACATAAGGTAGCTCGATAAGAGAACTCGAACACTTTATTATCATTTCTTTGTTTGATTGCTTTTTCTCTCGCCTACCCAGCATAGCATTCTTTCTCTTCTTCTATTCAATATCTTATTTACCTTTCACATTTTTAACCTTCAGTTATGCCTTACCCTATTCCAAAACTTTTTTTTTCTAGATTCAGAAGAAAAACTCTCTGTTGATATCTCATATGAGCATGATTACATGTATTTATCCAAGATGGATACTTATATGGACAGTACCAATAAAAGGTATATAATAAAGGAGAAAATAATGAGAAAATATGCTACTTAATACATAGATATACACTGCCTAGTATAGAAGAAAGGATGTCAAAGAGAATATATATTACTATTTAACACACCCCTCAAACCCATTGTAGGTTAATAAAAACCAAGAGTTTAAATTTGAGCTAGGCTCATGTCAGTAAAACAAGCGCCATTACTGTCAATTTCAGTTAATATAATAGAATAAAGTAGCTCAATACAAGGACTCAAGCACTTTATTATCAATTTGTTTTTCTTTTGGTTGATTGTGTTTTCTCTCACCTATCTGGCATAGCATTCTTTCTCTTCTTCTATTCAATATCTTATTTAACTTCTACACTCTTAACCTTCACTTTTGCCTTACCCTATTCCTTTCTCATCTATTAGAAACTTCATTTGTTTCACCTCCATTTCCCTTTACTACCCACAGTGTGCTCATTTTTCCTCCTTTCTCTCCATCATCTCAACTCTTTCATCCATTTACCAAAAAACTCCATTTTATAAAAATATATTACTGTCAAAGTCACGCATAAGACTGGGACGCTTATCTCATATAAATGGGTTAAGCACTTCCTAAATAATACAAAACAGGAAGATGGATATCATATATGTAAAGAATGAAAATACTCCAAAAGTCTATGGAAAATCTAGAAAGGAAAATGTATTAACAAGTAATTTCACTTTACATCATGGTATAGGGAAAGCCATGCTGAATAGAACTTGGTGTCTCTTTAAGTATGGCATTAACAGCGCGTGTGTGTTTCATGCACGTATCCCGTGCGTCCTCTTACCTAAAGTTGTTTTGCGTGGCACTTAGAAAACAGAGACACTTGAATGGAGTCAAATTAAGTCCAAGGTCATCAACAGTATTGGTGATAGAACTATCAGAAGATACAGATAAAAAATAAGCACATGGCACGTGTCAATTGAAAAATTCTCAATCAGACCTCTCATTGGTGTACACAACCCAAACTAGCTTTCCTAACTTGCACCTCTAATACGACAATAAGTGCAACCCGACACCAAAAAACAAAAAGAATGAAATCTCAACTACTACCGCATTCCCAATAGCTAAATATTTACGTAGGAAATTTCCTATCCTTATGGATGCTTTTGCAACAAAAAGTTTGAAAAATTATCGACGTGTACATCATTCATTTCTAAGAATGCACAACCAAAAAAGTAATCTCTAAAACCCTTTCCTCCTCTTTTCTTTCCCTTTGTTTCCACAATTTTACAAATATTGAGTTAACATCAAACTTTTAACTTTATCATATGGTTAATGGCATACCCAGATCAATAGGATAAATCTTGATTCTTGAGGGAACAAATTAACATTAAACCGGAAAAAAATGAGCCCATTACAAACACTTTTGCTTCTTGACACCCAACAGACACCAATTGCTTCACATATCTAAAACTGCGTATAAACGTTTAATGACATCATAATAAAAAAAATTAAAAAGCAGATAAATTTAAAAAAAAATTCCAACGCACTTATCCGTGTCAGCTTCCACTATAAACTAACCAGTATACTCAAAATTAGGTATCGGGAAACAAAAAACGTTTCCTTTGCAAGAAGTCGAGATTTTTCCTATCAATCCCCAAAATGGTAAATCAAAAACGACAGCTGAATCAATCACAAAATGAACAACATAATAAATTAAACCCTAAATAAAGAGAAGGAAAAAACGATATACCTAGAGAGAGAAAGAGAGGGAGACGGCGGCGGAGGATGGAGAGGAGAGAGAAGAGTATTAGGGATAGGGTTTGGTTTTGTTGCGGGAGAAAAAGGTTAAACAGGAGGGGAAGGGAAATGGAAGAAGAGGGGTATTTTGGGAAGACGGGATGGATATTTTGGGAAGGGTCGTCCTTTTTTTTTGTTTTTTTGTTTTTTTTGTTTTTTTTTTTTTGGGGTGCGGGGGTCAGTTTTTTATCTCTACCGTATAGAACACGGGGAGAGAGTGAGGTGGAGGAGGAGATGTTTTGAACCGTTAACTTTGGGACTGAAAGATCTTCTTCATGCGAACAAAAACTCTTCTTCATTTTTCGGTTATTATTTTTAATCGTAAATATGATTTCTAACGGGTGTTCATAAGCGCTCATTAGGGGATAAGAGAGAGAAAGAATAGTTAAGAAAAGAATTTAATGCGAATCCACTTGCTATTTATCTCACCTCTCTCTATCTTTATCATCGCCGAGCACCCATTAGAAAAACCAATATAATAGAATACATTTTACTTTTCATATAAAAAAATTATTAGTCTTTAGACTATAAATTATAGCAATCTAACAACTTAGTTTACTAATACGGTTTATAGCTGAAGTAGTAAATGAAATGTGTTTGGTTTTTTGCTATTATGCTTCTGATTGCAATGGATCAACTCATTAACTAAAAAAATAAAAATATTAGTTTGATTGATTGAGTTTCTTATGAGCAAAGATAGACCTTCTCCATCCTTAGAGCTTATGTTATTGTAAGCACTTTCTAAG